CTAAAAGGCCTTTTGTGTGCAGTTCCAATGCAACCACCAGTGGTAGCATAGCTGTGCATCCGTCGGATGTGAGTGTTGTCACCACCGCAAGCAAGACTGCTAATCCCTTTGCCAATACAGCACCACAAACTTCAAACAACCTTGCTCGGTCCCAGAGGACCTTTACCCAACTCTACATGCCTTTATCTCAATCCATGAAGGTGTTGATCAAAAAGGGACACCTCAAGCCATTAGAGCCTTGTCCTCTACCTGATCCTCTCCTACCAAAACACAACCCAGTCAAGTACTGTGCATTTCACCAGCAGCACGGTCACGACACCGACCAATGCTTCAGACTACGTCATGAGATTCAAGACCTCATTGATAATAAGGTGATCGCACCACCCCAAAAAGCAAATGCAACCACCAACCCTCTCCCAGCCCATAATCCAGTTCCCCCACTTCACAATCTAAACCTAACCCATATATTGGCCATCCCCTACGACCCTAGCGTGTATATTACCCCTTTCCACCTACCCTAACCGCTGGTGTTCATTCCTAAAAGCACAGATTTGTGCATAATGGACACGTCCACACTTCAACCTAAACCTGTGGTAGTGACAGTTGTAGAAGAAGGGAGGTTGGCCTTAGAAGAGAGTACGAGTCCGTTGCCTGAGTGCTCTAAGGACTTGTTTAAGGGGGGGATGATCCAAGCTGCTACATTGTGCCGATTGATCAAGTCAAGCCAGAAGTAGTGTTGCCAACTGCAGTGGATTTCAATGTGGTTAGGAAGGATGGCCCGAGTCAGGGGTTAGATGATTTGGCGGAGCTTGAGGAGGACTTAAACAATCTATAGTTCTTCAACGAACAAGATCAAGGGGATGTGCAGATTGATTGGTTCGATTTAAATGGATCAACAGACAACTCTGGGTGCTTAAGTGATGAACCCGACAAAGAAGAAGGAACTGAAACAAAACTGGAGGAAAATACAACAAGAATTGCTATAGTGACCAGAATGGCCAATGAAAAGATAAAACTGTTAGAGAACACCAGCGTGAATAATTTAGCTCAGGAACTAGGCACTATGAGTACTATGGACATAGAATAGGAAGCTGTGCTGAAGCAGTTTGCACAAGAAAGGGTCAAAGAAAATCAGGAAGCTTTGATGGCCCAACACCCTACAAGAGATGCTTGTGATATGAGAGTGATCCAAACGGAGCAGGACAACTGTTTGTCGGTTGCTAGAGGTGTATGGTGGAAGGACGACAATCTACTTCTAGCTCACACCGACAAAGACTAGGGTGAGTGTCTCCCAGATAACATGTGGTATACGAAAGAGATTGACCACATGACAAGAAGTGGGCGGTATTTCAAGCCACCGCTCTTAGATCAAGCTGAGGCATCTAGGAAAGATAAAGAGGCTGAAAAATAAAAAGAGAAGCAGTTGGAGGAAGACGCAATGTTAAATAAACTAAAGAAAATCCAAGCCGACATCTCAATCTAGGGTCTTCTCATGGCCTCCCAGGTGCATTGATGTTGACACCCCATTTTTGACCGACCTTAAGACTCAGACGTCATCGATTGAGCGCTCGATGATAGTGCATGTTGTGCTCGTTTCGTTTTTTTCAGGGTTTTTGGCTGAGTGCCTTGCCTTCGGGCATCCGAACTCTTTGTGCTTTGGCTCGGTTTGTGGACCAAGCCTAGTTTCTCTTCCCTGGAGGGAGGGAGAGGTCTATGGACCACCTTTTTGTGGTCGTAGACCACTTTTCCTACTTGGAGACTAGTTTCCGGTCTTCGGAGCCTTTGGTCGCGCGCCTTGTCTTGGGACCGCTTAACATTCTCCTTTTGCCCTGGTTTTCGAACCACACCTTGTTGCCTTGGTCTAGAGGGGCACAGAGGTCTTGGAGACCACCTTTTGTGGTCGGATACCAATTTTCGTGCCCATAGACTAGTTTTCGGGGCTTCCGGCTGCGCGCCTTGACCCCCGGACTCTTATCTTGCATCCTTTTTGGTTTGTTTTTGGCACAAACCTTATTTTCCTTGCTTGGAGGGTGGAATGAGGGTGGGAGACCAGTTCTTCCCCTTGGAGACCACTTTTCTTCCCGCCAACCAGTTTTCTGGTCGGCCAACTAGTTTTTTTTGGTCTTTGGACCACCAAAAGTGGTCGACCACCACACCATTGGCTTGCTTTCAATGTGCAGACCACCTCCCCCACCTGCCGACCACTTTCTTTCCTAGAAGACCACTTGTAGTGGTCGGCCAACCACTACAAGTAGCTGGCCGACCACCCTAAGTGGTCGGCAGCTTTCCTACAAATTTTGCATAGTCTGTGGATGCTAGCTGTGCCAACTAGAGAGCACAAACTACATCCTCCATACACGTGTATGGAGGGATTTAATCAAGCTTCTAGCTTCTCCAAGAAGCTAAAAGCTTGGAGTTCTATAAGAGAGAGGCTCCCCCTCCCTTCTCCAGGTTCTGAAATTTTGCTTGGAGTCATACATACATCTCTCTCTGTCTCTCTATATTCTTCTCTCTCTATATATTTTGTGCCTTAAAGAGTGTTGTTCCTTCACTTTTGCACTACAACCCCTTAGCCAAACCTCTTAACCTCGGAGCTGAGATGCCATAGGACTTGTTTAGGCTTCCTAAAGTTGGTTTTGGCTTAGAGAAGCTGCTGGTTTTGTTGTTCTTCAAGGGTGAGGCCTTTAGCTTCTTTTAAGCTTTGTTTTGGTTATTCTTTTAGCCATCTTTGCATGCTCATTTTGGTTTGACTCTCAACTGTAAAAACCTTCATTTTCAAGTGTTAGTAATGTTTGTTTAAGGCTTCTTTGGTGTTGGGGGTGATCTACTCCCTTACATGCCTTGTTTGGCTCAAACAAGTCATAATTTGCCCCTTCTATATTACAACTGGAACTTGCATTTCCTGAATGGAGTGGATGATACTGCTATAAGATCCACCATCCTATGTGATTCTATTTCCAATTATATTGTCTTGTGTGCCTTCGAGAACTAGATAAAGTTCAACATGAGGAAATTCTCCACTATTGGACTCCTCCTAGTTGTTTTGCTTTTCAATGAAACAACATTGTCCTGTTTGTGCAATGCTTCAACCATTGGTTGCATAGAAGAAGAGAGACAAGCTCTTCTAAAGTTCAAAGATAGTTTCACAAACTATACAGATCCACTATCATCTTGGCATGGCCAAGATTGTTGCAGTTGGAAAGGAGTAGGATGTGATGAAATTACTGGCCTCGTTGTTAGGGTTGATCTCGGTGTAAAAGTGCAACTCTTCAGCTTTGTTATGTTCTGTTCCGTTAGAGGCTAATGAAGTGCACTCTTGTTTGCTTCAATTGAAATATCTGATTCACTTGGACTTGAGCGGAAACTCTTTTCACGGAAGCCCAATCCCAGAGTCTTTGGATCGATAGCATGACTAAGGTATCTCAACCTGTCTTATGCAGAGTTCAGTGGAATAGTTCCCCATCATCTCGGCAATCTTTCTAGCTTGCGTGTTCTTGATCTTAATAGTAATTCTGAAGTAACTATATATGATTTCACATGGGTTTCTCGTCTTTTATCATTGCAATACCTCGATTTGAGTTACATGAATCTTCTTCAAATACAAAGTTTACACAAGGCACTAAACATGATTCCTTGTTTACTAGAGTTGTGTTTATCAAATTGCGGACTTGATGCCATTCATTCATCTCATATGCATGTGAATTCTACTATTTCTAATGTTCAATACTTAGACCTTAGTTCTAATTCATTTGAAGAACTTCCGAGGCTCCTTAGGAACATGACTTCTTTAAGAGTCCTCGATCTTTATGGTAATCAGTTTAATTCTTCTATTTCTCTCTATCTGGAAAAGCTTAAGAGCCTTGAACGTCTCAATCTTGGCAACAATGCATTTCATGATGTTGGTGGGATGTTAAGTCTAATGTCGAATCAATGTAGTTTGAGATCATTTGATATGAGTGACAACAGATTTGACAAAATGATGTTAATTTCTTATGGAAATTTGTCCAGTTGCACCATGTACAATTTAGAGACATTGTGTTCAAGTGGTAATGGTTTCATTGGTCATTTACCAAATTGGTGGGGACAACCTAAGAATTTGAAACATCTTGATCTTGCAAGTAACTTCTTTAACTGTTCGATTCCAGCATGGTTGGGAAGAATCACTACAGGAAAATGAGCATTTAACGGCGTTTAATTAACGGCGTTTAATTAAACGTCACCTTTTTTTATAATTAACGGCATTTTTTAAACGTCGCCTTTGTTGTTAGGTAAAACGATACCGTTTTGTAGATAGAAGACGTTTCAAAAACGCCTCAAACCTCTCTCTTCACACCCTCTTCCCTGTCTCCCTTCACACCCTCTTCTATCTCTCTCAGTTTTTATTTTGAAAACCTATTTTGAGCACCGCCGTCTCCTTCTCACTCACTCAAATCTCTCACTCACTCCTTGCTCTCTCTCTCTCTCTCACTCAAATCTCTTTCGATTCTTCTTCGATTCTTCTTCAGTTCGGTGATTCATCTCGGGATTGCGGTTTCAAAGTTCGATTTTGAGCGTAGATCCGTGATTCATCTCCATGGATTTGGAACTCTTCGTCTTCTTCGATCAAAGGTTAGTTGCTCTCTCTTTCTCTCACTCAAATCTCTCTCGATTCTTCTTCAGTTCAGTGATTCTTCTTCGATTCTTCTTCAGTTCGGTGATTCATCTCGGATTGCAATTTCGAAGTTTAATTTTGAGCATAGCTCCATGATTTATCTCTGTGGATTTGGAGCTCTTCGTCTTCTTCGATCAGAGGTTAGTTGCTCTCTCTTTCTCTCACTCAAATCTCTCTCGATTCTTCTTTAGTTCAGTGATTCTTCTTCGTTTAATTAACCACATTTAGAAAGGTTAGTTGCTCTCTCTTTGAATGGTTTTGATATCCTTTATGCTTGTTCAACATGGCTATTATATAAAATAGACGAAATCCTAATCGTAGCCCAAGGATTAGAATAAAAAAAGGGAAAAATTATTGGCGAATAAAAGCTAGTCCTAAATTTGACTAAATTTTATGCTTGACCTCGTCAATATATGTAATTTTCAGGTACTCAAAGAGAGTTTTAAGATTTATTGTGCAATTAATGATGGAATCATCAATCTGGTTGATAAGGTGAATTGCCTTTATTTTCTTGCAATATTTCTAACTTTAACATGGTATTAGGTGGAGCTTTTCGCTTGCTTAGACTTTATGCTTTAGTTTTTTTATTTTTTATTTGTTTATTTTTTTTTTTTCCAGTTTTTTGAGATGCCAAGACATGAAGCAATGAAAGCCTTAGATATATATAAACGATCTGGCCAATAGGTGATGTTTGCATTGATTTTTGTTTGAATCATCACTTTTCAAAACTATCTTCTATATTTTGTCAAATTAAAATGGGATGGATCTGAAGTTTAGACTCTGGACTCGGTTTTAATCATTCAAATTCAAGTTTTAGTGGTTAAAAAGTAGGTGTTTACTGCAGGCTGGATCTTATTAAATGTGATGCTGTCAAGTCTTGAATTAAGTCAATATCCTGTTGAGTAATTCTTATTAAATGTGATGCTGTCAAGTCTTGAATTAAGTCAATATCCTGTTGAGTAATTCTTATTAAATGTGATGCTGTCAAGTCTTGAATTAAGTCAATATCCTGTTGAGTAATTCTTATTAAATGTGATGCTGTCAAGTCTTGAATTAAGTCAATATCCTGTTGAGTAATTCTTATTAAATGTGATGCTGTCAAGTCTTGAATTAAGTCAATATCCTGTTGAGTAATTCTTATTAACATTCAGAGGAAGCACCTATTTGAGGACCCATGAGCTTTAAACTGATTATCTCAATGCCATCATTTGATTTTTGTTGTAGGAAACAAAAATGGGCTTCTATTGCCTCACACCACCACCGACCAAGGTAATGCTGTGACAAACATTTTGTTATTCTAAGTAGGATTACATTTTTATGTTGCTCTTAGTTATCATGGATATTCTTGTGTTTCTTAGAATTTTATTTGATCAAATCTTTCCTTTTTAATTCCACTTGATGCTACTGGGTGAAAATTGCGTCCATGTATAAGGAAAATGATTGCATAGCTATCCTCATTTTGGAACATTAAAATCTCATATAATATATCATAGAATGATAAAATATTCTTTCAAAATTCAAGGTATGAAGGTGTTTTGGTGTTGTTTCGATATGGTTTATCCTTTGTGGTGAAACAGAGTGTGATAGCTAAATGATATTGTTGTTTTTAATTTTTAATTTTTTTTTCCCCAATTTTCTTGCTTTAGAAGAAGGCAAACAAAACCTTTCTTGTCCAAGAGGAGATACGTTAAAGGGTTTTAATGATTTGAGTGATATTTGCTTTGTTATTGGCTGCAAAGTAATCCTATACTTTTTAATGGTCTGTCAAGCAGTTACTCATTCAGTTGAAACAACTTTGTTTAAGCCATAATCCCTGAGTTATGTTACAGAATTTTATACTTTTTCTTTTTTGCTTCCAAGAAAATATCATTAGGCTTACTTTGGAAAAACAATTTACAAGAGAAAAGCAGGAAATGAGCAGAGAAAATATCATTAAAGGTTCTCCTATAGTTGTGGCAATATGAACCAGCTAATGAAGTTCTTTAGCATGCCCCTCCTGCATGGTGTGCTTGTTTGTAGAATTTATCCCCGCCCTCGCTCTCTCTCTTTCTCATTGAATACTAGTTGCTATCTTAGTTGTTTTTTGTGATTGAATTGAAGGAAGAAATTATTTTTGCAGCAATGAAGCGACTCGAAGACTTGGGTGCCTCATCTTTTATTCTTGATCTTAGAGATAATCTGGGTGGACTAGTTCAGGTTTGTTTGATATCTTACATTCTCCATTTGTCAATGTATATATATATATATATATATCCAAGTTGGACACTTTTATTATTTCATCTATTGCAGAAGGTTAAATTCATGATGCCAAAGAAAAATTGTCTTTGTTATATTGGTTACCATCAGTGCAATTTTAATGGATAACAGATAATTTGAATCGATTTCTTAGAGCATAGTAATTTTCTTTCTTTATTTTTTCTCCGTTGTTCTCATTGAGCCATGATTAGGTTTTATTTTATGTTATTTCTTGGACATAATTTTTAGTTGCTCTTGTTATCCTTGAATCAGGAGTTATACCCATTCATATCTTTTAGAATAACACTTCCTACCTATATATGTGTTCAAAGTTCATATTTATCATAAAAAAAAAAAGAAAAGAAAAAAAGAAGAGGAATGAAAAAACCGTTTGGAGTTGAGGAGAAAAAGCTATTTGTGTATCTTATGAGCAAAGGAAAAATTGATTTGCTTCACTAGTTAGCTGATTTTTTCCCCCACTAATTTTCAAATGCTTTTAAACTATGTTTTTAATTTTTTCGGTTCTGTCCATGGAGTTTAATGTGATTGAGTGTTTAAAAATTGTAAATTTGATTGTTTTGCTTATTTCAGGCTGGGATTGAAATTGCTAAGCTCTTTCTAAACCAGGGGGAGACGGTATGTGAATCTAATCAATCAATGTCATTGAAATTGTAAAATCCATATTTTAATAAATCTCCCTCCATCCCTCTCATGAGAGTTCTTAATTCTTTTGTGTGCTGGCATTTGTCCATTGATGTTATCATCAATTCCAAAATTGCTGGTTGTTTGTCATTGATTTAAAATGAATCTCATGACATAATAAATGATCATATCTTCTTTATTTTGAGAAAACCTTGGGGTTGTAATTGGATCATGGATTCGGAGAGGAAATTTTCTATGGAAAAGGAAAGTTGAAGGGAAAAATAAATGAAATTGAAGTTAATTTTCTTCTCACTTCTCTTCTCTTTTCCTTTCCTCTGCAAATCTCTCCTCAAATCCATGATCCAAACACAACCTAACTGCTTAAATGGCCTTACTGAATTATTAGGTTTGTTGAATTTCTGACTGGGTAGAAGTGAGCAGAACAAACTATTGAATGATCCAATCTGGGTTCATCAAACTTAGGTTCTATTGAAAATTGTCTTGTCAATTACTTAAGAACTCATGTTAAAATATATATATATATATATATAATCTTAAAAGCTCAACCTTAGCTCTGGCAGGTTTTCTTGACCTACTGACGATCCTCAAATTTGAGTTGGGGACCCGAGGTTCCCTAAAAGATATATTTCACATTATCATGAATGCAGAAGGTGGAAATGGAATACAAAACTTACAAATACTTAAAAATGGTCAGACTAATACCAATTTTGTGAACATTTTTGGGTTGGATGGTTTTTTTCAGTATACTTTTTAAACTACTTTTGATTGCAATATGGCTAACCACTTATTTGTTATTTCCGATGCAGGTTTTGGTGAACAAAAATACTGCTAGTGCAAGTGAAATAGTGAGCAGCTGAGATTATCACAGAGATTCAGTTGCTTATCAATGGAACCCGAAAACGAAACACATCTTGTCAGCTGGAAGTCTCAACTTGAGGAGGATATGAAGATGATCCAATATCAGGACAACAAAAACCACATTATTGAAGTACTTGCAGCTAATGACCTTGACTGCGATGATCTAGGTTCAATCTGTGCAGCAGACGCGATGGTTCTTGGTAACTATATAGAAGAAATTGTAGTATCTGCAGTCTCTTATCATTTGAGGAATAACAAGGATCCTGAATACGGACACGGAAAGCTAGTTATTTCATCCTCAAGGTTAGATTAGTATATTATTTATCAAAACAAGGTTAGATTAGTATATTAATTGGAGGCTAGTTATTTCATCCGCAAGGTTAGATTATTATATATATTGGCGGTTTCCTTACCATTCAAGCCTTGTTAACTTACTTTGTTGGTCATGGAACAGTTTGTCCCATGGTTTGAGCATATTCCAGGAAGGCAAGTCTTCTGGCAAGGATACTTTAAAGCTGGAAGCGCAGACTGAACCTTTTATGGTTGTGCATATGTTTTTTCAATAACCTGATTGTATGGAACGTGAAGAGTATTTTCTTGATGTCCTCTTTTTGTTGTCCTAGGATGCACCAAAGGATGAGGTTGTTGCTGTGAAGCCAGAAACAAAAGTTGGAAGCACAGTCCCTGAGCCATCAGCTTTAACAGAGGCATCAGCTTCAACAGTGAAGGATGCTGGTAACCCAGCGCGCCAGCATCAAAAGCTCTGGTGGGTTAGATTTATTATTTCATTTTTGAGATTTCTTTGTTAGGATTTACTTATTCTCTACCATTGGTTCTACAACTCGCTATGTATATATGCCAGCACTTGCACCTCTGCATTCCATGTTAAAATTGCGGATACTTTTTTAGTATTTAATTAATCAACTGAAGAATCACTGGCATTCTTTCAGGCATATAATATGTAGACATGTAGATTGATTTTTTTTAGTTTTGTAAACTTAACATGAAGTTTATGATGACCATCCGTCTCTGTAGTGTTTATTCTTCTCCTGGTCCCTTCTTTTCTCATCGTGGTGTTTGCTTATACCAGGAGATTCCTCTTGACAATGAATTTGAGAAGCGCACAAGGCCAAAAGTCATACCAGCTAGTGAGATCGGTGTGACATTCAAAGATATTGGTGCTTTGGATGATATTAAAGAATCTCTCCAAGAACTAGTGATGCTACCTCTTTAAAGACCAAACCTATTCAAGGGAGGCCTTTTAAAGCCATGCAGAGGAATATTGCTATTTGGGCGTCCTGGCACTGGGAAGACAATGTTGGCAAAGGCCATTGCCAACGAGGCTGGAGCAAGTTTCATTAACGTGTCTATGTCTACTATCACTTCAAAATGGTTTGGTGAAGATGAGAAGAATGTTCGTTTGTGGTTAATGTTAACACATAATTTTTGGATATATGTTAGTTTGTGGTTAATGTTAAAACATGATTTTTTGATTTTGGATATGTTAATTTTGTGGGTAATGGTGATTGGATATTAATTGAATGAGAAAGTGAATTAATGCTTCATTATAGCTATTTGAATGGGAGTTATTATTTTATATTAGTGTTATTACTGGTATTTTTTCAGTTCAATCAAATAAAATTAGCACAATTTCAAAAAAAAAAAAAAAAAAGGATACGGTGACGTTTCTACAAACACCTCTTAAACCCTACATCTAATGGCTATAGTTTTTTTAAAAAGATATGACGGCGTTTTTCCAAAACGTCGCTAAATATCGTCAGAGACGTCAGCGTGTGTTGAGCAGGACATTTGGCGGCGTTTTTAAAAATGCCGCCTATACTAATATCACGATGTTTTTAAAACGCCATAAAGCTATAGCGACGGCCACGTCCTCGGCGTTTAGTGCTAAGCGTCGCAAAGATAATTGGCGGCGTTTTTGTCACTTTTAGCGGCGTTTTTTAAACGCCACTAAAAGTTGAATTTCCTGCTGTGAATGTCACATTTGCATAATTTAATCCTTGGTTATAATTAGCTTATTGGGGTCATCCCACCATCGCTAGGGAACCTATCAGCCTTGAGAATACTAGATCTTTCTTACAATAAGCTAAATGGAACCATTCCTGTTTCTGTTGGACAATTATCAAATCTCAAGATCTTAGATCTCTCTTTTAATTCCCTAGAAGGCATAGTACTTTCTGAAACTCATTTTGCCAACCTCTCAATGTTGGACGAATTGAGAACAAGTTTTGCCTTCTTGACATTAAAGGTGAAATCTGATTGGATACCTCCTTTTCAATTGAAATACATTCTAATGGGATCCTTCAGAGTAGGGATTCAATTTCCTCAATGTCTTCAAACACAAAAGAAAGTTGTTGAATTGGATCTTTCCAATACTAGCATATCAGGAACCCTCCCTAAATGGCTTCTTGACATGCCTCTCTGGACATTAGATCTCTCTCATAACCATATCAGTGGAACCATTAAAGTTGACCTCTCCCATAACTATATCTCAGGACCCCTTCCATAAAATATTGGTGATATGGTGCCTACTTTGGAGACTTTGTCACTAGCTGACAATTTGATAAAGGTTTGATACCCAATTCATTGTGCAAAATTTGGACTTTGAACGAATTAGATCTTTCTAAGAATATGTTATTAGGAAATCTTCCTCAGTGTTGGGGGGATTCAGGGAAAATCCCAATGCTACAGGTTATGAAATTTTCATCTAACAAGCTTTCAGGGATTATTCCAAGCTCTATTGGACATTTGTCTACACTAAAATGGTTACATTTGAATAACAATAGTCTTTATGGAGAGATTCCTATGGGTTTGCAAAATTGCACAGCTTTAGCAGTTTTGGATCGTGGTGTGAATGGATTGTCTGGAAACATTCGTGAATGGATTGGAGAACTAGATTCCTTGAGAATTTTGAGATTGCACAATAATATGTTTAATGGCAAGATTCCTTTACGGTTATGCCAACTGTTAAGTCTCCAAATCATAGGCCTTGCAAACAATAACTTAGGAAAAAACCACCCCTCGCTGTTTTGGCAATCTCACTGGTATGGTCTTGGATGAATCTTCAAGACTTGAGTATACACAACGGTTGGGTAAACCTATAAGCCTTGAGGATGCACAATGGTTATCTGAGAACATGATACAAGTCATGAATGGAAATTAACTCTAATACAGCACTATACTAGCATATCTAGTGAACATGGATCTTTCGAGGAATAATTTGACTGGAACGATCCCTGAAGAGCTCTTACTTCTTTCAAGTTTGCTTGGGCTTAATTTATAGCATAATAATTTGACAGGAAGCATCCCTAAGAAGATCGGTGGTTTAAAGTCATTGATATCTCTTGATTTCTCTAACAATCAACTTTAAGGCATAATTCCAGGGAGTGTGTCAAATTTGAGTTTTATGAGCCACTTGAACTTATCATACAATAACCTCTCAGGACGTATTCTAACGGGTAATCTGCTCCAAACGCTTGATGACCCTTCTATTTATGTTGGCAATAGGGAACTTAGTGGAGCTTTTGTACCAAAGAAATGCTCTAGCGACAAAAATTCTCAACCTACTCGGCCATCCACAAGTCATGAAGAAACATATGAAGGAGATGTGTCTGAAAAGGTATGGTTTTACTTTGTTATAATGAGTGCCTGTGCCACAAGGTTATGGGGAGTTATGGGAGTTTTATTGTTCAAGAAGAAATGGAGACGTGCTTATTTTCGATTCGTTGATATGACCAAAGAGAATGTACTAGCAGTGAGAGTGGCTCAATATAATAAGTAGAATGGGAAGTGAAATCACAATGATTTGCTTTCTTCCCTTCTCTGTCTTTGTAGTGTTTGCATGGGTGGGTGGGTGGTTGTAGTTGTTTGAGCGCACTTCTTTCTATTTTTTTCCCAGAATAAATTTCATGTTACTATATGTATAGCCTTGAAGATTATTTAGTTGTTGGGTTGACTCTAAGTAGTTGTTTTAATCCATATATCATATATGTGAAACTTGGTTGCTTCATTGTTCTATGTTATGGAGTTTTGTGGTTTATGATTTGTTCATTGTATATGTCGTGATGAATTTAGGAACCAGGTAGTTAGACACAAAAACGACCAAAAAAAATAGTTTTTTTGTCTAAATTTAATCTAAATATGTGAGCTTTACTGTGTAAGAGTTAGAATTTGAACTAGAAATTATTTTTTTCGTTTTTTTTTTTTTAAATTATTTTTTGTATGAGTTCTTGATTTCTAATGTTATTGATCTAGTATAATACAAATGAGAGAGGTTATAATCCACAATGACTTACCACCACGACCATCTCGCTACTACTGTCTATCATCGCTGTTAAATGGCATTTATATTGTTCAAACAAAAGTTGGTGACATAGCACCCGAATTTCATTTGAAATTTTATTTTATCCCCAAACTATCTCTAAAATATCAATTAGACCGCCAAACTTCATTTTATTCAGGAGTCTAATTGATATTTTTAGATAGTTTGAGGGATAAAATGAAACTTCAAATGAAGTTTGGGTGTCATATCAGCAACTTCCATTTAATCATAAATGATAATTGATGGTGAGAGTAAAATTAATGCACAAACGAATAATTCAAATAAAAAATTGATATTATTAAAATAACAGAGATTGAATTAATTTTTTAATAATAATTTAGAAGTCAAAATAATATTTTCTCATACATTTATATCAATCTAGTTCTTGAATGGCTATTCCTTGTTGTATGGTTATGGCTGGTACGTTTTTTATCGTAAACTTATTTGCACAAAAACAAAATAAAAATACAAAAATATGCATCGAAAATTAGAAGTGTTGTCGTTCAAAAAAAAATTAGAAGTGTAATTTTAATTCATTCTAAATATGGCAGGGATTATTCAAAATAAATTTGTGCACATATATATTTTTTTATTTTTAATATAAAATTTTTTAAGTTCAAAATCTGAATTTGACAATTATGTTAGGTCTATGAAGCCCACAAAATACTAATTTTATAGGGTGCTCTGCGTATAGTAACATTGAAAAAAATTAAGATGATTTGATAATCACTATACAACAGTTTCTTCAGGACCATTCCATAGCAAGAGTTTTGTGTCCCGATATGGCATATCAATGGACTTGTTTCTACGATGATGAAAAACGACCATGTTGCAAGAAGGACGATGTAGAGAAAGACCAGAATGTTTTGGAAGATATCAGTGTAATCTCGATTTCAGCATCTGTCTTTGCCAGATAAATCTAGCAACTTTTGAGCCACTAGAGATAAAGATTAGAGGCAAAACTCGCCATCTAACAACCGCACAATTGTTAGATTACGGCTTTGTTTCTAGAATAATTTTTTCAAATCTAGAACAAACAGATAATTTTGGGAATAAACTTGCCCATTCAATACTTTGTGTAATGGGAAAGCATCATTCATTTGTAGAAGTATAAATTGACAGCAAGTTACCAGCATAATAGAAAGGAATAAGGTACATTCCTGCCAAGCATAAAATGTACTTTAGAGGAACTTCAACATTTCCAGAATATCCAAGACTTCTCAATTGAAGACCCTGGCCATACAGAAAATTTTCACTTAGAGATCAACTTAATAAATTGAGGAAATTTGCAAATAATCCTCTATTAGCGTATAATGGAAACTATGGTCATCTCGTCTGCGAAGATAAAAATCAAAAGATATACTGTAACTTGGCCATTCCAAGTTTTCTCTTTAGCAGAAAAACATTTGTCGATGAAAGTTGGTATCCCAATTATCAACATAGCGTCTCCCATGAGTCACTAATACTAGAAGAAGAAGATAATCAATGGTAGAATGAAATAGATAATGGGGATGATTTTTACGATCAACTCTCATAAACAGATCTTGAAGACCTTTTAGATAGAATGTATGGGTTAAAAAAAAGGTGTACTCTATATAATTAGACTCTTTTAAAAATCTTGGAAGCTTTTGGTCTTATAATTGTAGTGTTGTAGCCACAAAGTCCATATTTCATTTACTATTTTGGACTTTTAGCCTTTTAGACTTTGAATTTTAGACTTTTTGACTCTTTAAGTTTTTGTATCTACGGAAGTTTTCTATAGATTGGCTCTAAGGACTCTCTCCATCATCTAAGCATCCACATGTTCACATCAATAATTGGAATTAAGATGCTCAGAAGAAAAGAACAAATAGGCAGTTTGTAGAAGATAAGGCCTCTCTCATCATGCAGTCAAATTCACGTCAAAAAATGACAACAGCTATTGTAATTATTTGTATCTGTAATTATTTGCATCTGTCAGTAGTAAGGCTTCTCCTTCACTCACTACTTTAATAGAGCAGATGAACCCTATCATGCTCCATTAAAGAAAAGTTGTGAGAATCCTTACACCTATTATGCTGTCAAATTTATATTTTTTAGAATCAAGAGGGAAAGGATTGAATGATGTGCAATGGGGCCCAAAGCAATACCCCTCATCCTCATCCTAACTCTTTATTGATTCCTTCTGTAGTCGGTGTCTAAGAGAATAAGAAGTGTGTCAGAAAAGATGTATATAATTAGTTTTACAAAGACTTTTTGGTCTTTATCTATTAGTTTGTAGACTTTGGATGTATTGGTTCAATACATTAGGTATAGGTTAGCTTTTTGGTTTTGTTTTTCTTGAAGATGTATTGTATATAAATTGGCATCCATGCCAACGGATAAAGCAATGTAATTTCTCTCCACTCTTCTTTGCAAAAATTCTCCAACTTCTCTCTCAAGTCTTTGTCTAAAAAATTCCAAGTATTCAAGTCTTTGAAGGTTTTCTAGTATCTCAAAGTCTGTAACATAATCTTTGTAAGTATAATGTATATTAATATGAAGTGTAGGTAGCCTCTTTCTTCCGTAGATATTTCAAAATGGTAACTCTTCTGTTCTAAAATTTATTTTCTTTTTGGAAAACTAAGTTTATGGAATGCTTGCTTGCTCATTAATATTACATGCTTTGAACCTTCATAGTATCTATTGTTTTCTACTTTTAATAAATACTATGAAGGTTCAAAGCATGTAATATTAATGAGCAAGCAAGCATTCAAAAAGAAAATAAATTTTAGAATAGAAGAGTTACCCATTTGAAATATCTAAGGAAAATGAGAGACTACCTACACTTCATATTAATATACATTATACTTACAAAGATTATGTTACAGACTTTGAGATACTAGAAAACCTTCAAAGACTTGAACACTTGGAATTTTTTAGACAAAGACTTGAGTAAAGAAGTTGGAGAATTTTTGCAAAGAAGTGTGGAGAGAAATTACATTGCTTCATCCATTGGCATGAATGCCGATTTATATACAATACATCTTCAAGAAAAACAAAACCAAAAAGCTAACCTATACCTAATGTATTGAACTAATACATCCAAAGTCTACAAACTAATAGATAAAGACCAAAAAGTCTTTGTAAAACTAATTATATACACCTTTTCTGACACACTTCTTATTCTCTTAAACACCGACTATAGAAGGAATCAATAAAGAGTTAGG